CAAAAAAGCTGGTGGGGGGGGGGGGGGGGGGGGGGGGGGGGGGCTGTAATGTCCTCACTGCCTCCCACCCAGGTGTGACCGCACTCCGAGCACTGCATCATGGGAGGAGGTCACATGTCCCCTCCCCCCCCGTGCCCAGGTATTCTGCAGCCACCAAAGAAAGGAGATTAGGGTGGTCGGCTGGCGGTCTGGGTGACAGGTTCTCTTTAGAACGTCCAAACCCGCTCATCTTTGCTGTATGAACAGCGAGTGGACCATCCGTGTAGCACCGACGCACGGTCCCCTTCGCAGTACGGACACGCGTGTGCACGGGAAGAACGCGGTTGGCTCGCTCCGGCCTCCGCGTGGCTCAGAAGGTTCACCAGCTGCTCGTGCGGTAAGTCCTTCCGGGACGGCGCTGGAAGATCTCCTCCCCTCCCCCTCCCATCCTTCTATAGAGATCCGTTGTTGGGATACTGTGATTTTTATTTTATTTTTTGCCAAAAATAAGATTGTTCTCCTTTTTTTTAAGACTTCCTGAACTGTAAAGTGCACCTGTCATCCTCACCGTGTCCGAGCGGTGCCGGTCCGATCCACAAAACGGCTGCCTGCGCTGCAACACATACGTTCCAAAGAGGACCTGTCACAAACCTTCACTGCCGCCTCCAAAGCCCTCCTAGGTCAGGGGTAGCCAAACTCCAGTCATCCAGCTGTGGGGGAACTACACATCCCATGAGGCATTGCAAGATTCTCACAGCCACGGCTCCAGGAGAGAGATGCATCATGGGATTTGTAGTTTCACCACGCAGCTGGAGGGCCGGACTTTGGCTACCCCCTGCCCTGGGGAAGTGGCCGTTTCCTGTGCAGTAGCTCCCATTGTAGGGGGATGGCCAGAGGAAGTCTATTCGTCACCCACATTCTATAGAATACATCGCAAAGCGTTAAATTATGTCAAATGCTAAAATTTTAGGGTAAGGAATGGTTAAAAACCATCTGTGCCCCATTGGGGAGATTTCTCATTACTTCCTGAGCTGGGGACACAACAGGAAGTGAGAACTCTCCCCACTGGGGTCACAACAGGAAGTGAGAACTCTCCCCACTGGGGTCACAACAGGAAGTGAGGACTCTCTCCACTGGGGACACAATAGGAAGTGAGGACTCTCTCCACTGGGGACACAATAGGACGTGAGAACTCTCTCCATTGCGGATACAACAGGAAGTGAGAACTCTCTCCATTGCGGATACAACAGGAAGTGAGAACTCTCTCCATTGCGGATACAACAGGAAGTGAGAACTCTCCACTGGGGTCACAACAGGAAGTGAGAACTCTCTCCACTGGGGTCACAACAGGAAGTGAGTATTCTCTTCACTGGGGTCACAACAGGAAGTGAGAACTCTCTCCACTGGGGATACAACAGGAAGTGAGAACTCTCTCCACTGGGGACACAACAGGAAGTGAGAACTCTCTACTGGGGACACAACAGGAAGTGAGAACCCTCTCCACTGGGGACACAACAGGAAGTGAGTACTCTCTCCACTGGGGACACAACAGGAAGTGAGTACTCTCTCCACTGTGGTCACAGCGGTATAACAAGATTGGGTGTTCAGTAATATAATCCTAGAACAGTCTTCACTCTCATACCACCCGGGGGGAGGGGTGGGAGGTCTGCTTATCAAACTGTCCGTATAAGAAAATGCCATTGTGATTGGCTGCCTTTCCTGATGGGCGGTCCTTCTGGCTCTGATGTGACTGACAGCTCTCCTGGCCAATGGCAGAGCAGGTCCTCTTCTCCGCACAGCGCCCTCTTGTGATGACAGATTGGAATGTTCGCAGCGGGATGTAGACACGCCCCCCGGGAGGCTGCGTGAAGTAAATTGGTTACATTGGCGCATCAAAAATCGATCCCCGTTCTCCATTTCCTTTCTGCAGCCCCAAAAACCTCCAAAATTCCCCGGTCTCATAGGGGGCCATGTAGTCAGTAGTGACAGCTGTGCGTCTCGTTGCCTTGAATAGCAGACACCGGGGTGACCGCACCGTACCGCTGTCTGCATCGCCCTAGTTTGTGACAGGTCCACTTTGAAGCGCGTATTTGATACAATGTATCTGACCGGTGAGAGACATGGGGGCGGCACCGATGTGACGTGCGCGTGTAAAGCCAAAACTTTCTTATTTATCATGGATGGGGTACCGAAGGAAAAGAACCTCCTGAAGAGGCACCAAAATCCAAAGATAAAAGAGTCCAAATATCAAATGTATTCCTATGAAGAATTCTGATACATTCCAAAGGCGTTTCGGGGACCGGAACCTCCCTTCATCAGGGCCCGGGGATCACTACACAGATACCAATGAGCCGCTGAAAAGGTCCGTGTGGGGGTATACAACCTCTCCAGTACAGGAAGTCACAGGAACAGGAAGTGAGGGGAAATCTTCCACCTGTTCCAGTGACTTCCTGTTATGTGTAGGACAGGAAATGACATAGCAGGGAGGGGGAGGGGGGGATTAACCCCGTCATTCCATATAAATCTAAAGAAAAAGTTTCGGCTTTACACCCACGGTAATAACTTTGCCTTTTATACTGTGAGCAGATACGGGGTTACATTACAAAACCTTTTCTTTGCTACGAGGATCATTGCTGTTGTTTGCTGGACCCTTGAACCTCCCCCTCCCCCCAGAGGACAGGCGCGGGGGGAATGGGCCAGCATGGCGTCACTCAGGGACTATACACGCTCGCACGCGTCATTTCTGGCGGATCATTGAACGCCGCCGCCATTTTCCCCGATCTGATGGTTTCCACGTCTCTGGACGGGAACGGTGAACGAAGCCAAAAATTATATCTTGATGTTTCCTCTCTGATCTCCGGCGGCCATTTTTATTTTGCGGCGAGTCGCTGGAGGGGGGGAGGGGAAACGATCCGTATTTTTGATACACAGAGAGTACAGAAGAAAGGAAATTGTTCAA